CGCAGGTGCCCATTGCTGTATCTGGCAGCCGAGGTGGCCCGTCTCCGTCCCGTCGGGGCCGGCGGTGGCGCCACCACGGGCTCCCTTGTCGTCCTGGACCTCCGCCATGTCGCAGTCCTGGGTGGCCTCCGTGGCAACCTCCGCCGCAATGTTGTTTGTCTCATCGCCCGCCACGCTTCGTCCTCCACCGTCGTCTGGCCCTGCTTGGGCGAACTCCTCCCTGAGCTTCCGCGCCTTCGCCGCCCACATGTTAATGAGCGTTGCGTTGCTTGCCCCGCCGACCGGCCTCTTCGAGGGTGCCCTCCGGGAACTTGCCTTTGGGCCGCCGTCCTTGCCTCCAAGCTTGGGGGCCGACACCGCCGTGAAGACCGTGGCCTGGCCGCATGACGCTGCCTCATCCGCCGTGTAGCGCTCGCCCTTGTTCCCGGCAACCTGGGTGAAGAAAGTGGCCTCGGAAGCTCCGTCGTCCTGCCCGCCTCCCCGGGGAAAGTCGCCCGGCTGCGTGCTCTCGGCCATGCCCGTGACGGTGTCCGGCAGCTCATTGCCCTTGACCGGGTGAAGCCAGTCGAAATGTCCCGGCTTGTCGGTGTACCACAGGGCCAGCTGCGCCTTGGCCGAGGAGTTGTAGACCACCGCCGCCATGTCCACAGGGGCCGGGATGACGTAGACCGCGACCTTGTACGTCTTCGCCGCCGCGTACGCTTCCAAGCTTCCAGCCCATTTGCCATTTTCAGACATGTGCTGCAGGTAGTCCTCGAAGTCCGCGAGCTTACCACCAGCCGTGTCTTTCCCGTCCCAGAAGGGTTCGTATGACGATCTGTGCTTGCGCATATGAGCCACCACCTCAGCCCTGATGCGCGTTGGCTGCATCGCCGGCTCGCCCCGCAGCCGCCCCAAGCCCAGGCCCACCACAGTGAAGAAGCAGTTGCCATCGCCGTCCACCTTGCCGACCGAGACGCCCTCCGGCACGGCCCGCTGCGCCCTCGCCACTGCAGGCTTCTTGGCCGCTTGCCCTCCTCGGACTGCACCTTCGCCTCCGGTCTGTCGGCGCCTCTGGTTTCTTGGGGCGGTCGCCGAAAGTCAAAGCCGCCCTTCTCGCGGATGGGCCGCGTGTTGCGGACCACCTCACCCCGCACCGGGGTGACCCACAACGTGGCGGTGTCGGTCCCATCCTCGACCTTCAGCATGTAGCAGCCCGCGTCCTCCTCCGCCCTGGCTTTGAAGTACCAGGTGGCACTGCCCTTGGCCGTGCACCTGCTTGAGCGAGGTCTGCTCCTCCACGAGGTCCCGGACCAAGTCATCGGACCAGTTCGCCGGGGTGCTCTTCAACGCAAAGTATCGGATGCGACTTGCCCTGGCCATGCTGCCCGCCTGATGCCTCATGCCCACCTGCCGCTTACCGAGGAAGATGCCGTACTTGGGTTTGGAGGAGGCGCTCACCAGCTCTGGCACCAAGGGCGTCTTCGTGGAGCCGGCGAACCGGGACGACGTGGTGAGGCGCGAGGTGGCATGGCTGGAGCCTTTGGAGGGCGAGACTTGGACCCAGGCGGTCGACCGGGCACGGGAGCTCACCTTTGCCACGGGGACGCGGATGAGTCCCACCACGGCTGGTCGGCCCAGGCGCTCCTCCTCCGCAAACCCCCAGGCGTCCTTTACGAAAGGCTCACTGCCCTCCCTGCTCCACTTTGGCGCCTGTGTCCAAGCCTCCTTCGTCACGAAGTCCCTACCCGCAAGGTCGTAGTGACCGTCTTTTTTGGGACCTTCTTCGCCGTCTGGGCCGCCTGCTTGAAAGAAGGTGGTGGCACGCCCGCCGTAGTGTAGTCCACGAAGCTGAAGGCCTCGACCGCGATGTCCCCGTCGCGCTCCACCGGGATCTGCAGCGTGCCCGTCGCAGCCTTCCAAACCATCCTGGCCGTGCACTTGGCGCCCGCGCCCAGGAGCATCTGCGACAGAGCGTCCGCTTGCTCCGAGTCCCTAACCCAAACCAACACCGGGCCCGCAACGCTGTTGGCGGGGTCTGCTTGACCGCCTTGCCCTTGCCCTTGGCGCCCTTTCCTGCCGCGCTCTTGCCCTTGCCCTTGTCGCCCGCCCCGGCCGGGGATACGCCAGTGCCCTTGCCATCCTCGTGGTTCAGCTTGCCCTTGCCTGTTCCCAAGCGGCTTGAGGTCGCCCTCGGCCTGGTGCGGCTCCGGCGCAAACTGCACCTGCCGCCAGGGGTGCCGCGGCCGCTCCTCCTCCTGGCCCGCTTCCTGCTCCGCACGCAGGACTCCAAGCAGTCCGCTTATGCCCGCCATCTGCTGCTTTACCGGGTGGTTCTCCCCTGCCAGGCTCGCCACGACAGTCATGAGGAGCTCGATGATCGAGACCAGGGCCTGCTGCATCCGGTGCTCCTGCCTGCGGTGCTCCGTAGCCGCCGCTCCGCCTCCGGGTCCTGGATGAGACGCCTCTCCCACTCGAACTCCACGAAGTCCCTGCCGCCAACCGGGCGCCAGGCATACCCACCGTAGCAGCCCACAAGCACCTCCTCCAGGATCAGGTGGGTCGCCGTCCGGCCCCTCAATATCGCCAAAGTCTTCCAGCAGCTTCTGCCCTTCAGTCAGGCCGCCGTCGAAGTCCTCAAGCAAGTCATGTCCCAGGACCCCGCCCACGCAGCCCTCAAGTGCGTCCGAGTCCCCAAGCAGCCTCCGCTCCTCGGCCGGGCCGTCGTCGGAACCCATTCCTCGAGGCCCATGCCTCCACGCGGCCAGGGGGCACACACGCCATCGCAGCCCACAAGCACCTCCTCCAGGATCAGGTGGGTCGCCGTCCAGCCCCTCAATCTTGTCAAAGTCTGCCAGCAGCTGCTGCTCTTCTGTCAGGCCGCCGCCGAGACCCCCAAGCACGTCAATGTCCAAGTCGCCCGCATAGGTGTCAGGCAGGCCGCCATGGAGGAGCTCAAGCTCCACCAGGACCTCGCCGTCGTAGCACTCAAGCACGTCAGAGCCCTCAAGCAGCCACAGCGCATCGGCCAGGCCACCGTCGGGACCCGCAAGCATGCCATTGTCCAAGTAATCCGCAGAGATGTCGGACTGGCCGCCCTGGAAGAGCCCCAGCTCCACCAAGTCCTCGCCGCCGTAACACCCCCCAAAATTGAAGCAGTAGGCCTGGAGAACCCCCGCGCCGACATCAGCGCCCCCGAGGTGGTCGGCCCCGCCCTTGAAGCTTCCACAAAACTGCACAGCGGCACTGTTTCTGCCCTAAGTCAAGTCCTGCTCCACTCTTCTCCCAAAGCGCTACACTACGGTTGCCTGGCACCGCTCCCTGCGTCAGCAGCCTGCCTAGTGCACAACCGCCTTGGCCCGGGGCAAGGCCTCCCACAGGTGAACTCTTCGTCTGGGGCCGCTGCCACGACCCCGCCGCGGCCACCGAGATCGCCAGGACGATCAGGAGGTGGTTCACATAGCCGCAGGTGTCCAGTTCGAGTAGTAGTAGTAGTAGTGTTCGATGAGGAC